AGGGTCTTTGAGGGTTAAGGGTTTAGGGGTTAGGGTTTAGGGTTTAGGTTTGGGGTTAAGGGCTTCTAATTAAGGGTTTAGGGCCTAGGGTTCCTTTTGAGGAGCTAAAGGAGACATTAGTTGCAAGGGTACTGTAGGGTTTTGGGGTCTAGGGTTTAGGGCTCGTTGAGGGTTGCAGGGCGGAGAGTTCAAAGGTTGAGGGTTTAGGAGTTTAGGGATGAGGTCTAAACTGTGTAGGTTTTTCATAGTTGCAGTAAAAGCGTTCTGAAAGTAAGGGGCTCTTCGTCGGGGGTTTTAGGACTGTGGTTCAGGGCCAGGGTATGAGACATCGAGAGTCTCCAATGGCTCTTGAGTGTGAGGAAAGAAATTCCCACAAGGGTTTAGGGTTTAGGGTTTAGGGTGTGAGGAAAGAAATTCCCACAGCCTCTTACAAGGCTGCGAGGCTGTGCGGAGCTCTGCCGAGTTCTTGTCCACTCAGGATTTCCCAGCGCCATGTCCCTATAGGGTCCATATACAGAACCATTATGGAACTAAGTCCCCAAAACCATAATAGGGAGGGTCTTTCGGTACCTAATTCCATAATAGTAATGAATATGGACCCTCCGGGGTCTTTCTGACTCAGCCATGCTCTGGAAATGAAAACCACGACAGCCTGAACCCGGCGGGAGACCACTCGGGATCCTTTAGTGCTATGTTCACCTGCACGGGTTCCAAGCCCAAAGAGCCTATATAAGTTAGAAGGGCCCCCACTCTGTATTAGAGGTAAAATAGGAATATAATAGGGCCTAATATAGTCCCTATAGTCACTATTACAGGGTGGGGGCAGCTTCTAAGATATAAGTACATACGCACCCCTGTAGGGATCCTTCCATGCCGGTTGAAAGCATCTAGACTTGAAGCCCTGGCGCACTGGCGTTCGTTATCATCACCTCTGCTGCTACGGCTGATGACAAAACTTCTGCATTACCTTAAACACCCAAAATCAAACTGTGGGAATTATGGTACATGTCTCATCATGGGTGATGCAGGTTTCACATCAACCGTAGAACGAAATAAATTTAAGAAGGAAGACTGGCGTACCCACGCGCACACAATACTAATTCCTGCCATAGATTCCGCTCTGTGTGCAAAATGGACACCACCCCTATGGCCCTACACCGAAACCATGAAGCCCTAAACCCTATACCCCATAACCCGATCGAAGCTCATCACCCACTAGTATACTCGGGATGCTTTGGGGAACGAACACTGGAAGATAAAACAACCCTGGAGCCTAAACCCCCAATCCCTACTTGGAGGGTCATGGGACTTAGTAAGTATGGTTATAAGTACCTTAAGTGGGGTTATAACTAATTGTAAGTATAGTTACCTTAATTTAATTATGACCCTAGTTACTAAGTCCCATGATCCTCTAAGTAAACTCCAAACCCTTCGCCCATAAACCCTGAAACCCTTAAATCCCTACAGCATTTAAGCCCGAAATGCTCTGAACCCTATAGCACCCTCATAGATCCCGTATAGCAACTCTTAGAGTTCCTTTCAGGGAGTTTATAGTTCCCTTAAAGGAACCCTCGAAGCCCTAAACCCTGTACCCTAAACCCTGACCCGACACCCTGAAACCCCTAAGCCTTATAGGTCCCTTAAAGGAGCCCTTAGAGTTCCTTTAAGTTTAGGGTTTAGGGTTTAGGGTTTAGGGTTTAGAGTTTAGGGGTGTAAAGGAACCCTTATACTTCCCTTAAAGGAACCCTTATAGTGCCCTCAAAGGAACCCTAGATACTCAAAACCCTATACCACCGTAATAGCACGCTCATAGATCCCCTATGGAAGCCGGTTCCCTAAACTCTTCTCAACCCTAAACTCTTCTCAACCCTACACCCTTCTAGACCCTAAGCCCCTAAACCCTTATAGTTCCCTTAAAGGAAACCTTAGAAGCCCTTAGCACGTGGGGCCCCGGACCCAGCAGCGGCCACTCTTTTTCACATCTGGCACGTTGGGCTCCCTGCAGCGCGGTGTAGGGTTTGAGGTTTTGGGGTTGAAGGGTCCAAGGGTTTGGGGTGCAGGGTTTAGGGTTGAGGGTATAGGGTTCCCATAAGAGAGCTTTTTCAGGGATCCCTTAAAGGAACTCTGAGGGCTCCAAAAAGAAACTCCTGCATGGCGGAGTACAAGAAGCAGGGAGTTAGGTGCAATACTTGGGTGAATTAAACCTTCGGTTATTCAAAAAACTGTTTAATTTGCTGTTTTCAGCATCTCGGTGCTCAAGCCTCTCCTGAGGCTCACCATTAGTTCGTGGTTTAGGTTGTAGAGTTTAGGGTTCGGGTGTAGAGTTTAGGGCTTAAAGTATAGGGTTATTAGAATTGGGGGTTAGAGTTCAGAGCGGAGGGCTTCATAGATTTACAGTTTAAGGCTACGTAAAGTTTAAGAGTTTGCAGGTTTTTAAGATGTACTGTAGGTTTGATGGAGTAAGGCTTCGGGGCTTGCAACAGTTCAAGGCTTGGGGTTTCCAGGTGTGTCCAGGGTTTGCTGTAGGCTTTAGGGTTTAGACTTTAGGCTGTAGGATTCAGAGTTTACATACTCTTGTTGGATTCAGGGCTCTAGGCAAGTAACATACGGTTTCAATACCTATAAAGGGAAACACTAACCCTAAAACCCTAAATCCTACACCCTAAACCCTAAGCAGGGCTTGAGATTTGGGGCTGCCGGCGTTGAGATCTTTCGGGTTCAGGCCGGCCGCCAGGGGCCAAGGGAGGGGCCAAGGCGAGTATAGGGGTCTTGACAACGAACAAAGGGGGATTACAGGGGTTATAGGCTTCGGGGGTTATAGGCTTCGGGGGTTCAGGATTTATGGTTTCAGGGTTAGGGTTTAGGGGTTTGGGGGTGGAGGGTTTAAGGTTTACGGGGTTCAGAACCTCCAAAGAGCACCTAAAGGAATGATCTCAAAATGAGCATTGAAAGGCAAGACCCTGATGTTTGGTTTCAGTGCCTAATCGAGCTCCTACTCATAACCGACTTAAGCAGCATTTTACATGCAGTGGAAATCAGGGTTAAGTTTGGGGCTTACAACAAAGCGTATAGAGTCTTATAGAGTTTATAATCAACGCTTTTCAGAAGCCGGACAGCATAAGGGATAATTGAAGGATATTTGATATGCGGACCATTGATACGGGAGCCGGTATTTTGAGACAGCCTTTCCTCCTCCCCACCAGGGCACCTCGCGGCCTTAGCACGCTGGAGCGCGGCAGCAGCCAGGCTCCTCAAAAGGGGTAGGAACGATGCAGGACCTTTTGCTGCTGTGACTCTTTGTTTCTGCAGCTTAAGAGACGTACAGAAACAAACATCACATGTAAATCCGAGTCAAAGACTGATGGACAAGAACAGCTACAAGTAAGGGTCAAAGGCATGACAAAACCAAGCTGCCAAGCTACCATCCTAAACCTGAAATACCAATTATCGGGTCCACTGGAACTTTAGAGTGTGAGGGACTAAACCTCAAGCCCTGCTGCAAGCCCTGTAGTTAATCTAGGGGATTTAACAATTGGAATAGGGTTCTGGGGCCCACTATACCATCATTATAATAACGAGCCCCCAAACTAGTCTTGGTATTTGTTCAGGTCCCTAAACTATTATCAAATCCAAAAAAGCCCGCGTTGGCGTGCCATGGCATTGCATGCAATGTTTGGGGTTTGTGACCCTGAAGCCGAGTACCCGGAGCATCATGTAATGTAGGGGCCTTGTTTAGAACCGGGTTATGGCATATGTTCTCAAACAGTGTTTGATCAGGAGCGCTGAGGCATGTTTCAGGACTCTGTAGTAGATGATACCCTTTTACCCCAAAGCCCGATGCAAACCTTAGCCGAGGCCCCTCTTCGAATCAACACGAATATACAAAGGCACCCATTCAAAGGAATACCTGAACCTATCAGGGCGTATAAAAGCAAACTTACTCCAATCAAAAACATACAACAAACGCCAATTCAGCAAGAACAGCCTATCCATAGGCCCCACAGTAGTCCCCTTTTTGGAATTCATATGTAGAAACCAAAAAGGTACTCCCCATAAGGAACTACAAAGGGGACTATGGGTAGGCCATACATCAACCTGAAGTCGGCCCCTCCCTCCACCCCACCCCTTAAACCCCACATGGCCGAAATGTGGCACGGTCTCCTGGCGCGCAGTGTGTTCGGCTTAGGTGCAGGCGTCACCTGGCAACTTTAGGTACTTGAGGCGATGGGTTTGGTGACACTTGGAGTCGGGATTTGAGGCGAGGTCCTGGCTACGAGGACAAGGGATCCATGAAGTCCTTGTGCCCGCCGTGTCATGGAGTGATAGGGTAGGGTCCCCCGAGCCTCGTACAGAAAGCTCGTTCAACCCTGAACCTTGGGCTCTTAAACTTTAGAAAGCCTCCAGCGACTGAAACTCTTGCTGCCGTCTCATATTCATATTGCAGCGCTCAGTTGAAAACTGAAGGCAGTGGTACCAGTAGAGCTCGAGAGTTTGCTCCACACACCCACTATTGAGGATAGCATGGCCTTGCACTCTCACCCTTGGAAAGCACAACAACTAAATCAGATGACAAAGAGGAGCCACGCCGAAATGCCTTTCAAGCCAAACCGCTACGCCACGTCAATCTTGGATGGGGCCGGGAGGTCGTGATAGGGACCTTACACAGAAGGACAACGCTGTCTGTGGTTTTGTGAGGTAGCTGCGCACGAGATGAGCATGTGGATGTACACCTCCGCAGTCGAAGTACAAGCCTTCGAATGCGGTGTGGGACATGGATGGGATCCACACTTGGCTGCCATGTGCTCTTGTGGGTATGCAGACGTGCAAAGGCCGATAAGGTAACTACAAAATGCAGTTCGATGATAAGCTGCGCAAGAGTGAGGATCCCAGTCCACAGATGATGCCTCTATTGGCGCAGTTCACTCTTCCTTGCACATTGCAGCTTGGCCTAAACAGGCAGCTGCCACGAAAGACTGCCATTACAAAAAAGTGGAGTTCCTTCACTCGCGTCCTCTTCTTCGCTTACGGGGCTGTTCAGCCCGATCCTTCTCCTGCTGCTTGCGCCAGGCCACCGCCTGCTTCCAGGCCTTCTCGGCCTCCTTTGGCGAGAAGTCCTTGGGGCGGAACCTCATGTGCTTGCCTTGGCATCTTGCATGCCAGGCCTGCTCACCGGGGACCCATCTGATGCCCTTCTGCGGCCCAAGCGGCTCGAAATTCGGGAGCTCCGAGAGAGGCTTCACGGGCACCACCTCCTCCTGCAGCCCCAACTCCTTGGCCAGCTCTCGAGCCCTGGCCTCGGCCTCCGCCTTCACCTTGAACATGCCACCGTGCACTCTCTTGTTAGTGGAGGGGTCTGCGATCCTGACCTGGTAGGTTCCTCTTCTTTTGTCGTACTTAATGCCGCGCAGCAGGGAACCAGAGGCCTTCTGCGTGATGGGCGTTGGGGGCTTCAGCTTGCCCAGGGTCACGAGCTCGTCGCGGAAAGCCTTGGCCTCCTCGAGGGCGGTCTCCGAGGCTTCAGCCTCGCTGAAGCCGAGCTTCATGTGCTTGGAGACGGAGAAGGCCAGCCTCTTGCGCTTGCCAGCCTCCCTCCAAGATAATATCCACAAGGCCATCGGTCTGTCCCAGTGGATATTCTGCACGCCGCTCTGGCGCTCCAGGCCGCGGAAGCTCCTTGTGACGACTTGTTCGCCCTCAGCTCTGGGCTCCACCTGGCTCGTCGACTCCAAGGGCTTCTGCTCGCCAAGTTCCGGGACGGAGCCCACGGACTCGAAGATCTCGAGGCCTTGCATGGCGGAGCCCCCGCCGGTTGGTGAGAGCTTCATCATGCCGTCCTCCACGAGCAGCCAGCCATTGCCGGCCCAAGCTCGAGTCGGAAGGTCCCGCATCCAAGGCCACATCTTCATGCACTCAGCTGCTCGGTGCTGATTGCCGGTTGAGCTCCTGTGGGGCTGCGGCCTGGATCCAGCAGTGGTCACTGCGTGTCCCTCGCTGCTTGGGTCACTGTTGTCATGGAAGAGAGCATGGTGTGGATTCTCGCGGTAGAAGTCGCGCAACTCTCTGAACTGCTCTTTGCCGAGGAGCTGCACGCATGCTGTTGTTGTGTCTCTTACACATCCTTGCCACGGAGCTGCGGCTAATCCGAGAAACGGGCTGGCCGGACAGCAGGGCTTCGTGGGGAGCCACGTCTTGCCAGAGGATTGAAATGCTAGGCATTTCTCGGCCCACTCTGTCACTCGCGACTTGAAGGATGGAACTGAGATGTCCGGACTCTTCTGACTCAATCGACGCCTCTTCGGCCCAGGCTGCTCAAAGTTCTCTTGCTTAACGTGCACCTCATCGACTTCCTCCTGCTTTATGCCAGTCCTTAGTTGGAGCTCAATGTCAACAATTCCGCAAGCAAGTTAGTAGAGCCCGTAGAGAAAATCAGCACCGCGCTCCCGAGTTCTACCACAAGGCATACCCATAGGCCCCAAAGTAGTTCCTTTTTGGGATTAACTTATAGGATTCTAAATATGAACCCCAAAAAGGAACTACTTCTAGACCCAAGAGTAACCTAGGAATAAAAAGGGTGCCCTTTTTGGTTTAAAGGGGCTTATAAGGGAACCTGAACCCTGCGAAACGGGAATAAGGGCCTACTCTAGGTCCTAGACTTTGGGGCCTTAGGGTAGCGCAGCAAAGCAGCTGATCATCGACGCGCTCCAGTTTCATGTCAGGCCTCGTCTGCAAGGCAACATCAACAAATATTGCAGTACTTGGGGGTACCTTAAGCGGCTCCTTAAAGCGATCTTAAAGGGATCTATACGGTTTAGGGTTTAGGGTCTACTTAGAGGATCTTGGGACTTAGTATAGGGTTCTGATTCAGGTAACTATACTTATGATCAATTATGTCCCCGCTTCAGGTACTTATAACTATACTTACTAAGTCCCATGATCCTCCAAGTAGAAGAACCGCACCCCAATCCGGAGTTCAATTTGTTTAATCCTATGTGGCAAACTACACTACAGCAAAGTAAGCTAATTTACTAAAAGCTCGAAAACTGCATCGGAAAGCCACATAGGACCCACTACATGGGGCACAATGCCGTCAACATTGAAGCGAAGAAGCTGAGGTCAATGGTTTCGGACTTCCGGCGTACGAGTAAGTGCCTTCCTACTAGCTCGTGCAAGCGAGGGAATCTACCACAAATGCAGCACGGTTGAACCTCGAAAGCTACAGAACAGAAGCTCGTCGCAGTCCTTCGAGGCCTCGCAGATGACTTCACAGGACCGAAAATTGAAAGCGCAAGCCCCATGCTCTTACAGCGCAGTTGAATAGTTGCACCTAGAGTCTACGAATCTGCCCAGCCCGGACAGTGGCATCAGGTACCGAATTTTAGGGACTCCACCTGAAAAAGATCCAAGGTTGCCAAAAGCTGCCAAGCCACAACTGGCTTGGCCACTCCTGGTCCTCCGTGGTGGGCCGAGAACGGACGATGACGGTGCATGTGTAGGGTTCCTTTAAAGGGTTACTATAAGGGCTCCTTAAAGGGATCTATAGGAGTTCTATAAAGGGTTCAGGGTTTAGAGTTTCCGAAAATGAGGGGTCCCTTATTTTGGGGTCCTTTTTCCAAGATCCTACTATTCAGGGTACTATATGAAGGTCCCCTATTTTCGGAAACTCCCAGTTCGTCTGTGATCCTGAGTGTATATACTCCTGCAGACTTCTGCAGGCGCTACCCGGCTCGAAGGCTCGAAGAGATCTAATCTAAGCACCAAGAAGCAACAAGCCATAGCCCTACATATTCCGCAGACGCTGAACATAATAACATAAGTCGCAGTCCTTAGGTCTGCATGGTAACGGTGACCCCAGACCCGAATCCGAAAAAACAGGTGCCCAAAGCAGTACCGAACAAAACAGAAAAGGCCAGCCACGATGTTGTACTGATGGCGGGAGTACCGTTGAGGTAAAGTGTATCACAATAAGAGTCTCATTGTCTCATCGCTCGTCAGAGCAATGAGTCGAGAACTGACTGCGCCACAGAGGATAGCAACGATAGAAACAGAATAAGCAGCGGCAGCAGCAGCAGCAGTCTTTGATTGATGAGACCCAGCAACTGCGTGAATCGCAGGAACCCCAACCCGTAAACCCTTCCCAATCCAAGAAGCGAACAACATCTGAAAACCTGGGCTTCTGCAGCCGACACTCAAACTGCGCAGCCGACTGAAATCTTGCCAACAAGTCCGCAGACAAGGGTCCTGCTGCTTCACTTCATGCTTGATCCCAACCTTCACCTTCCAAATAAAATACTACTATTTGCTTAAGAACCCACCAAAAAATAAAAAAAATATAATCCCCATATTATCCCTATAAGGAATATATTTTTTATTTTTTGGGGGCTCTTAAGCAAATAGTAGGATAGGAGTTGAACATGGAGACTTGGAGTTCTGCTTCTCTAAACCCCGGGCTGGTAACCGTAGAGGTGTAAAACCCTTAGCTCTTAGATCGTATGGGAGGCTCCGAAAATTAGGGGTACCTTACTTTGGGGTCCTTATAATAAGGATCCTACTATTTAGGGTACTACATTAGGGCTATTTTCGGAAAGCCCCATATGAGTTAACCATCATCTCATCTCTTTACGCGCGCAGGCTTACACAGGAACAGCATGGAACAGCAACTCCACAAACCCCACATGATGCATCTTTGTGCATTCTGCTACTCCGCGACGGCCCCCGACCCCGTTCTCAAAGCGATAAGCTTTCGCGACCTGCATAATCTGCCTGACACGAGGTAAACCCAACGGAAAAAGGCTGCATGACTCCGCGCGGTACGAGATTATTAGGGGTATGGCCATTTACCGAAAAATGTCGTTGCCACAGCTGAGTAGGCCCAACCTTTGCTGTTGTGTGGTGCGCCTGTTTTTCGGTTGTGCCGTTCCTAGTATGTTGCAGCCGTCCCGACTGTACCTCTTTTGTTCATGATTGACAGTGCTCCTGCTGTTATCAAGCTGCTTGCTAACACTTACTTCATCACCGCTAGCTCGTTCCTCGCATCTTGGGCCGCCTCACTGTCCTCCTTCTTCACTTCCATAGGTGCATCTTTCGAAACCTCCTCCTTGACCTCCTGCTTGACCTCCTGCTTGATGTCCTTCAAGCACTGAAACTGGCAAATACGAAAATCAAACTCGTTTTGGACAGGGGCGAAATGTCCGCTGCGGCACCCGGGATGCGACTCGGTCTTCTCTCCCATGGTCTCGTGGTTTCCGGAACGCTAGACTCGACCCTTTCAGAATTGAAATCCCTAAGCCACGATATGACCTACACACTCCTAAACGCCAAAACTCTGCAACTCAAGTCGAGCCTCAAACCTTCAACGAACGATTAACCTTCAACCTGAACCCTATCTGGGTCACTTCAAGCGCCAGAGGAAAGACAAAAAGCCCTGTCTAGAGGTCGAGCGGGCTCTTGTCACGCAGCCTCACAATGTGTCACGTACTTCCTGCAGCCCAATCGCTGAAGAGTTCGGATGCACACTCCCAGCATCGTGGTCTGCAAAAACTTGAATCCATTCCGGTGGCACAAGTGGAGAACACATAAAAGATGCAGCAAAACCCCTTGTGCAGTATTCCCACAAGCAGAAACAGCTGGCCGCCAGCCTTCTGTGTGATCTCCTCTTCTGCTTTTTGTTCCATCATGTCCTTCGGAGACTCCTCCTTGATCTCACTTTTCACTTTCTGTCGTCGATTCGTCGAGCCCTCCTCTGTCACCTCTTTCTTCATGTCCTTTTACTGGCCGAAGCTTTCCGAATTCGTGCATTTCGAAGCATCACTTGCCAAGATGATTGACACACCACGGCCCATATCCCAAACAGCCAGAACTAAAGATTGCTCAAACCCTGGACCGTCGTTAAATCCCAACTTGAATGTGTTCGCGCCATTCGGTAGATCCTATTAATCGCAGCCTCAGGATGTGCAATCCTACTATGATTGCTGTGGCTCACGATTTTGCTGATCTCATAGCAACCATAAACGCACTGGTTCTTTTCAACAAAAGTTTTGTTGCTCTCAACACAAACATATCACTATATGGGCAATGCGTCCCATCATTCGCTTAAGTGCCCAAGTTTGGCTTCAACGCCGGAAACCCACAGCATGAACAGCATCGATTCGGAGAGTTATGTAGCAAAACCCACCTCATGAACCCAGCATACGAAAGCTACACCGTACATGCAGGTCTGACAGTCAAAAAAAAAAGGAGCAGCAAACGTATCCGGGAAAGGCTTCATCCAACCAGCCTCCTTGACTTCCCGCTTAATCTCGGCTGCTCTGCGAGCATGTTCTTTTCGCCCCAACCACAATCACAAACTTCCAAAATGCTTATGGCTTTTTTGGCGTTCAGCTTGTGCAACGCACTTTCTGGAACCATGTATCACGTCTGGTTTCGGTTTCTCTTTTGCAAGGTTTTGGGGCTTAGGCCCTACGACTTCACCGACACTTCAAGTAGCACGGATGAAATAGGAGACGTGATTCGAAACGACTGCGCTAGAGTTGGGTTTTCCAGGTGCGTGACACATCAGCTACATGCTCCAAGTGGCGCCAGGGGACTGCCTAGACGTTTCAGGCTGCAGCGGATACCGTGATCTGCACCCCCAAAACTATCTCCGAGCAAAGTGAACCTCTCAACTGTGTTCTCGTCGTGCGCTGTGCAAGCATCGATCTTCACGGTCTTTCACTTCCTTCACTTGCTGACTTAGTGCCGTTCAGGTTTGCTTGAAGCTCGGCCGAGTTTAGCACGGGCTCATCCTTGAACCCTAAACAAGGCCACAAGCCAGCTTCAACACTTTCGGAGCGCTTCGACTGACTGGTCTACCACATGGCCTGCCTCAACTTCTTCCTTCACTTCATCCTTCACCTCCAGGCTTAAAGTTCGGAGTTAGGGTTTAGGGTTTAGGGTTTAGTTAGGGTTTAGAGTTTAGGGAGTGCTGGGTTCAGGACCAGCAGCGTCAGACTGGGCTGGGTATATTGATCATGGCAGGATGCTCTTGCCTCTTATGACACCAGGAAGCATCCCCTAAACCCTAAACCTTCATCCCTAAATCCTAAACCCTAATCCCTAAACCCAAGGTTCGATAATATTCTATAAGCATCTGTTGGAAGCCAGACGACAACCACAAAGACAAGCACATTGCATCCCACGTGCCTGGAGCTCCTGTTGCATGTCTTGGTCTTGGCCTCTAAAGGTGCCTGCCAGCTTGTCTGCCTCACGAAGAGAAGGAATACCCCACACCAAGGTCGAGCTTTCCGCAAGGAGTCGGGTTGCCAATGCTGAATGACACATCCTGGTGGTCTGATTGTCGAAGCCCAGTGCGGAACTATCCTCTTACAATTCAGCCTAGACAAAACCGGACCTGAAAAGCCACAGCTGGTTTGGGGCTGAGGGTGCAGAGGGCTAACTTTGAGGTTTATGGTTGAAGAGTTCTGGGTGTAGACGCCTGGATCTCCCTTGTCACTTCTTGCTTGACTTGCTGAGGTCCGGCTGGTTCCTGCCGTTCGTATTTTCAGGTCAAGGCAGCAACGGTGAGACATGTGTCAAATAAAAAGTACAGTGCTTCTAAACGGTTCTACGAGGGTACTCATGGGAGGTGTTAGAATTCTGCAAACGGTTCACAAAAAAAACGAGGAGTTCAATAAAGGGCGTGATAAAAGGGCCTTTGTCATAAGAACAGCGCTTTCCTTTACTTGCACAGGGACTGGAACGGGATGTTTTTGATAGCCCTGAGACCAACTGCTGCCGAACAGAATGAAACAGCACGCGCTGAAACAAATCGGCCACCTTCAAGAGCATGTAATACAACTACCCATCTGCTCAGCATCATATTCGCGGCACAATAACACTGCAGCAGTGTTTGACGATTCACACTTTGAACACCTCAGGTTTGGAAATTTTAGCCTTATACCCTCAGGCCCTTATGCCTCATAGGTTATGAGTCAGGGTATGGCGCTTCAGACGTTTGGCTTTACATCGAAACTCTTGGGACTGTGGGGATGGGATGTAGGTTTCGCATCAGACCGCTGATATGTGAAACCTTATCAAGCGCTAACCCGATATCACAGCCCCTGAAACCCGAAAGCGTGGCTTCCAATTATTACAGCACCCGCAGCCCTAAACCCCAAACCCTGAAATGTCATCCTAAACTCTAAGCGCTGCGGCTGCAACCTAGATCGAGACAGACTCCCTGTGCCGGGGCCTTCCGCAGCTGTGGTGCACGAGGCTTGCGCTGCTTCGCAACCTTCACCGATAGAACGACCACCTCAGCGCCCGAAACCTCCCTCAGCCCAACCCAAAATGTGAAAGTAAACACCTATATATACTGCCTAACTCCCTGAACCTATAAAACTGCGATTCGGAGCGTCTAGTACTAGTATCCTACAGAATTTTCAGTAATCCAGCGGGCCCAAGTACTTCTGGTTTCAGATGGGTTTAGGAGTTTGGATCCTGGCCGTGACGACTGATTGGACCGGTGCGGATTGATACTTCGAGGATCAGGGGCTTAGTAACTTGAGGGTTATAAGGTAACTATACCTAGAACTTATAACCCCACTAACCCCACTTATAACCATACTTACTACGTCCCATGATCCTCCTATAGAACTCTTATAGATCCCTTTTAGGATCCCTTTACGGAGCTCTGTAAGGTTCTCGGAATGCGTGCTTCTCCGGGAGGATCTAGAAAGTAGATCCCCTAATTTGGGCCCTATACTACTAAGGGTACTTTATAGGAACCCCCATTAAGAGATCCACTTTTCTGAAGAGCGGTGAACAAGTGAAGCCCAAGGAGTCTGTGCTCGTACGTGCCCGAAGCACCAAGTGGTTCTTGAAAGGGAATTCGGTCTAAGATACCATCATAGCTGGGGATTTATAGAGGTTCCTTTAAGGGTTTATGGTTGGTTTTAAGTTTTCAGATAGCATATAATAGGGATCTATGGTAAAAAATATGGCCTCCTTATGATGGTAATTAAATTAAATCCATTGAAACTCGAAACCATGAATCTTGTCATGGCCACTTGCCCCAGACAAGGAAATTGTGGAGATGGTCTTCTGGAAACGGATGCATTGTGCCATGACGAGCGGGTTTCTATTGAACTACTCCTGCGAATTCGGCTTTGTGTCCTAGTATCTCTGCATGAAGTAGCTCTGGGGTTTTGGGAACTAATATGCTATACACATCATAAGGAACCCTCCAAAAACGTTTGGGCAATAATCGAGGCCCCTGTATTATGAGCCTCCAGATAGGAGCCACAACAATCACCCAGACCTTCCCAAATCCCTTAATTAAGGAATATCCCTTAAATTATAGTAGGATCCTTAATATTCCTTAATTAAGGGATCTTGGAAGGTCTGGGCACATTGCCCTCGTGCTGTCGGGGTGTCTGGGTTCAGCGACGGGGATTCCAGCGTGCTAGAATATACTACGTCTACTTTAGGGCCTTAATAACTAGAATATGGTTTTGGGGTATATTATATTATGAATAAAAAACCCACAATCGTATAGGTAGTGTTTTTTCATTATTAAGTCCAGTAGCTTCTGCAGGGACTTGTACCATGCGGTGCGAAATATCGGGAGAAACCGATGGACTCCACTGCGTAAGCGTTTCAGGGTTTAGGGTTGAAGGTTTCGCGTCACGCATCTGACCTGAATACTGTGTAGCACCTGTCTGCGGTGTGAGTAGCGATGCTTCGGGCAGGTTTGGTGTTGATAGCGTTGCTCAAGAGTCGAGGCCTTGCAGGTGCATCCCTGATTTTGGATTGATAAGGATTTGCCAGGTTTGTACGGGGTCTTGAAACCTAGAGCGGAGCAGACAACTGTAACATGAGATAGGGATTATGTTGATTTTCTTCGTCTTTACCCACATGATAAAACACTGACCTGAAGGGCTCCTGGCCTCAAGGGTTCAAATGCACAAGAGAGTGAAGCATCACCTAGACTAGACTCTCTTCTACTTAAAACCCTGAGAAGAATCCGGCTAAAAGACGCCGTGCACGATTTTCAGGAAAGTCGCATCCGCGGAGGCCATCACAGGGTCTCTTGCAACAGCGGAATCTTGAGCCGCTCTGCCCATCCACCACGATTCAGGCTGCTGGTTTAGGGTTCAGAGTTGCAGGTTTAGGATTGAGGATATGCCTTCGGATTGAATGTTGCGAGTTGGCGCGCCAAGCAGCATAAATGCGAGATGGAAACTTCCTGCTGGCCCGAAGAACCCTACACCGGAAGTAACTGAGTTCCAGATGATCGAACTTCGGGATATGGTGCACAAGGCTGTCACTGAGCACTGACTTACGTACAAATGCAAGATGACTCCCAAGGCTGAAAAGCTTCAAACCCAAAGGTATCTCCATGCATCCCACAGCGAAAACCCTGAACTCGATTTTATGAAGCCTTTAGCAGCTAACCCCCTATAGCACCCTGAAGCAAACTTTGGGCTGGCATCTCCCGACTTGTGGTGTCACTCGCACTTCGGAGTTTGGTCTAATTACACACTGTACACACCAGATATCGAAAATGGCACGATCTCGCAGTCTCACCCTCACAAGGTAAGCAAAAACAAGAACCCAACCTCTGTACAAAAAGGAGCAGAACTGAAACGCCCTTCAAGCCAAAACGCTACGAACCGCAGACTCAGGTGAACCTTGGATAGGGCCGGGGGGTCGTGGCAGGGTCAGTGCATAAACATCTGTTTCTTCGATGTGGCTGAGCACGAGATGAGCCTGCGGATGCACTCATGCGCAGTCGAAGCACAAGCCTTCGAATGCGGTGCGGGACGTGGATGGGATCCATGCTTGCGTGATTTGTGCTCTTGTAAGTTTGTGGGCGTGCAAGGAGCGAGAAGGAAACTAACAAAATCGGTGATAAGCCGCGCAGGAGAGAGGATCCCGGTCCACGCAATATGCATCCATTGGCGAGTTCACACCTGTATGCACATGCAGCTTTGTCTGAACATGCAGCTGCCACGAAAAACTGCCACTACAACGAAGTGGAGTTCCTTCACTCGCGTCCTCTTCATCGCTTGCGGGGCTGTTCAGCCTGATCCTTCTCCTGCTGCTTGCGCCAGGCCACCGCCTGCTTCCAGGCCTTTTCCGCCTCCTTCGGCGAGAAATCCTTCGGGCAGAACCTCATGGCTTTCTCCTTGCCTGAGCAATTGCATCGGGCACGCCAGGCCCGCTCGCTAGGTACCCATTTGATTCCCTTCTCCGGCCCGAGCGGCTCGAAGTGCGGGATCTCCGAGAGCGGCTTCACCGGCACCAGCACCTCCTGCAACCCCAACTCCTTGGCCAGGTCCCGGGCCCTGGCCTCCGCCTCCTCCTTCACCTTGAACCAGCCTCCATGGACCTTCTTGTTGGTGGACGGGTCCGTAATGCGCACCCGCCAGCTTCCGTTCGCCTTATGAATGCCCCTCACCGTGGAGCTGGAGGCCTTCTCAGTGCTGGACTTTGGTGGCTTCAGCTTGCCCAGGCGCACGAGCTCCTCGCGGAAAGCCTTGGCCTCCTCAAGAGCGGCCTCCGAGGCTTCGGCCTCTGCGAGGCCGAGCTTCAGGTGCGTGGAGATGGGGTAGTTGAGGTTTTGGCGCTTGCCGGCTTCATAGAAGGACAACTGCCAGCAAAGCTTCCCTCTGTGCCAGCAAATTCCCGGGATGCCGCTCTGGCGGTCCAGGCCGCGGAACCTGCTCGTGACGACCTGAGCTCCCGGCTCGACCTGGCTCGTCGACTCCAAGGGCTTCGGCTCGCCGGGCTCCTGGACGGAGCCCACGGACTCGAAGATCTCGAGGCCTTGCATGGCGGAGCCTCCACCGGTCGGCGAGAGCTTCATCATGCCGTCCTCCACCAGCAGCCAGCCATTGCCGGCCCAAGCTCGAGTCGGAAGGTCCCGCATCCAGGGCCACATTTTCATGCACTCAGCTGCTCGGTGCTGATTGCCGGTTGAGCTCCTGTGGGGCTGCGGCCTGGATCCAGCAGTGGTCACTACCTGTCCCTCGCTGCTTGGGTCACTGGTGTCATGGAAGAGAGCATGGTGTGGATTCTCGCGGTAGAAGTCGCGCAACTCTCTGAACTGCTCTTTGCTGAGGAGCTGCACGCATGCTGTTGTTGTGTCTCTTACACACCCTTTCCACGGAGCTGCGGCCAATCCGAGAAACGGGCTGGCCGGACAGCAGGGCTTCGTGGGGAGCCACGTCTTGCCAGAGGATTGAAATGCTGGGCATTTCTCTGCCCACTCTGTCAATCGCGATTCGAAGGATGGAACGGAGACATCAGGACTCTTCTGGCTCAGTCGACGCCTCTTCGGCCCAGGCTGCTCGAAGTTCTCTTGCTGAACTTGCACAGGCAGGTCATCCACTGTCTCCCGCTTAGTGCCAATCCTTGGCTGCAAGGTAACATCAGTCCGCAGCCAAATGATAGTGTAGAAGAAAACTGCACCCCACTCCCGAGTTCCGTACATTTCTACAGTACAGAAACTAGACGAAAGCTCGACACTTGCATCAACAAGCTATGTAGAAACGGCTATGCGGACTATACGGAAAAACTCGAGCGACGCATGAGTTAGCCTAACCTATGCCATCAACATGCAAACGAACAAACGCTCAACTGTGCCTTCCTACCAGCTCGTGCAAGGGAGTGGATGAGCAAGGGAGGGAACGTATAGGGCTGAACATCGGGCAGGAGAGACTGATGTCGATGCACGTCTGTGCTGGCCCAAATGCAGCATACTGGAATCCAGAAAGCTATAGGATAGTAGCTCCTGGCTCGCAGCTGACGTTACAAGACCGACAACTGAAGATACACACCCCAGCCGCCTACTGTGCAGTTGGGCAGTTGTGTGTCTTCGGTTAAGATCCAATGTTTATGAAAGCCGCCAAGCCACAACTGGCATGGCCACTTCTGGTCCTCCGTGACAGGGGAGAAAGGACACTGACGGTGCGTGTGAGTGTTGCATGAGTTCGTCTACGGCCTAGATCAGTTGAAGGACTTACTGTAGGAGTTGCGGTTCATGTTCAGGGTTTTTCTGGAGGTCTAGCCTGCAGGAGAGTGCACACAAGGCATTAAAAATACACCGCCCCAAAACGGCCATTCTATGGTACTGAGTGTCACTGGAAGTAAAGTAGTAGTACCATAAGAGTCTCATCGTTTCGGTAGAGCTTGAGATCACAGCTAGGACCGCACCACAGAGTGGGGGTAGGACAACGATGGTACTACTGCTATGAGTTTACTGGGGGTCGTGGTACTTCAGGTGTGGAGGGTATAAAACAAAACAAACGAACGGCCATGATTGCCATAGTAAGGATAGAGACAGCAAACTACATCTGAAGACCAGGGCTAACGCAAGCAAAACTCGAAATACCGAGTCGACTGAAGCCCTGCGAATGAGTCAGACAAAGCGGGTCCCTTAAAGGATCCCTGACAGGATCCGTCAAATGAGCCCTTAAAGGAACCCTTGAAAGGGTCCTCCTGCTTCACTTCATGCTTGATCTCAGCCTGTGCCTTCCCAGCGAGGCAAAGGGCGCTTGGAACTTGAGACTTCTGGAACTGCTTCTAGGAACGCTAGGGCTCCGGGCTTTAGGGGTTTAGGTTTACGGTTTAGGGGTTTAGGGTTTTAGTGTTTAGGGTTAGGGCTGACTGTTGCGTTTCTTTAAATTCCGACGCTGCATACAGGTGCTCATCTCCCCCTAAGTGTGGCTGAACACTGGAACCCGCAAACCCCAAAGGTATCATCTGTTGCTCCGCTACTATTGTTATATACATGCACCATGCATATATGGGGTATAGGATGTGCGAATGAGAGCAACACTTGAGTTTTGGGATCCAAGATCGCCATGTTGCTCCGAGTACACCTCTTTATACTATAGTGCTTGTTGAGCCAATGGTGCAGATGGACTATCTTCGGAAATCCATACACTAGATACATTTCACTCTGAGCTCTACAGACTCTTGGAGTGTGTGCGGAGAACTCCACCATCGACCCTAAACTGGGCATCCCGGATCGGGCCTGACAACCCATGCAAGAAATCAAACAATTTCCAGACGGTTGAAGCTGAAAACGCTTAGTGGCTAAGTCTCCTAAGTCTACGGATCGCAAGGACAAGACTGTAGATAATCTTGAGGAGGTCGATATCGTTCTCTTTGACCCCCATAGACTAAAGCCTAGCAGCCGATCGCCCCGAACACTGAAGTTCAACCGTGTAAGGATGCAACCATTACAAAACAAAGACAAAACTTACGAAAGCCACCCGTGTAGTACCTCGGTAATGCCTTCATAATTAAAAGCCGATATTGCCCTCACAACGCCCTACACCCCCAAACAAAGTACCTTTTATAGTACTCGTTCAGTGGACCTGAGCAGGCCTGAAGCCCTTCATGTTTGCTTGCTATGCTTGGTTTTGTTCGCGTGCGACGAAAGCATAAGATGGTTTTGTCGAGAAATGAAAACATGCCTTCTCTTCTTTCCGTAAGCGGCTGCATACTGTAACTTAAATGATATCTCTTATGATTATGATCATGATGAACTCATGAAACACGTTTCTGCAATTTTGAAAGTTGCTTTCCTCAAGAGTTACTTCATGGCCACCAGCTGGTGCAGCGTCTACCGCCGCCTCGTTGCTCTCTTTCTTCACTTCCATGCACGCATCTTTCGAAAGCTCCTCCTTCACCTCCTGCTTGATGGCCTTCCAGGGCTTTGCTAGCAACTGCTAGTTAAAGCTAAGCTTGCAGAAGTGATAAACCTCAACTCCAGCAAACGCAAACGTCCGTGCCTTTTCGAGTTTCGCCCCGAGCCAGTTGAACCCTTCTAGGCTGGTGTAGGGCTGGCGACATCCGAAGCTCGAAGTCAGCTACCAGACAGGGCAGGGACTAAGAGCCCTGTCTAAAGGTCTGGAGCAGGTTCTCGGTTCTTGTCACGAAACGCCAGGTGTATGTCAGCTACTGGGAATACGTCCGGCGCTCTTCAAGCACTGCAGCCCCACTGCTAAAGCAGAACCTGGTGCACTACTGCTCCCGTCAAGTACCAGTGGTGGAGAAGCAATGAGAAAGGTACCCGTGAAGCAAACTCCGGTATTGGTGGATACTTCGGTATTCCCAAAATCCCATCAGCCTTCTGCGTGATCTCCTCTTTGACTCGATCATCATTGCCCTTCAAAGGCTCCTCCTTGATCTCAGTCTTCACGTGCTGCTGTCTGTTCTTCGGAACCTCCTCCTCCACCTCCGTCTTCAAGTCCTTCAGGCATGTTAGCTGATCGAAGCTTTCCGAATGTACCAATGTCGAATCTCTCCGTTGCCGGGTTGCTCGAGTAATTGAAACACCGGGAGCCTAAATCCCAACAGCACAAAGCCATAGGATTTGTTGAGCCCTGAAGCCCTGCATTGTGCTTCCCAACATGCCTGTCTTCGGGCCATGTGAACCCAAAGCTAACGTGTCAGCTTCGGTTTCTTTCGATCCAGAAACGACGAAAACTGAATCCAAAAGCATTCTGCGCCACACCTTCGTTGTGCACAGGGCATCCACTCAAACACACAGACGGCTCAGTAGACAAACCCATTGCTGCATGCCGGACGTGCAACACTGCCAACCGTGGCTTACGGGTTTGAGGGCCGTTTAAGTTCCAGAAATGCAATCGGTCTGTTGCAACCATCAACAGACCTGCATTTCGTTGACTCCGATCGGGGGATGAATAGTGATTCTCTCAAAGGGGTGCTCGTGCGAGCTGTGTTAGCATCGACCTTGACAGCATTTTCTTTCTCTCACTTAGTGACGTTCAGGTTTGCTGAGAATTCGGGTTTCGGACAAGTTTTTCTATTTACCTTAGATCAGCACCCTAGCCATATGGGGCACTCTAATTGGAAGAGGAATTTGGAGTAAAGTACACCTAATTACAGTAAGGAACCTAAGGACGAGTGTCACTCAATACTGGGGCTTAGACAAACCTTCAACAAGTTCGTGGTGACTCAACTGCCTGTAAATGTCTCAATGCCATTCGAGACTTCATCGAACACGAATCTGCGTCAACTTCTTCCTTAACTTCATCCTTCACCTCCAGGCTTAGGACATGGGACCCTGTAAGGTGGAGGTTTAACAGACTAAAGCGTTTCGGGTTTAGGGTTCAGGGCGCGGCGCTACGGTTCTGGCGGTGTAGGATGAAGGAGGCTTAGTGCTTACGTACAGAAGGCCTTTAACTCGGGGTTGTGCATCTCACCATTCCGGCCTCTTGTGAACACAGGAACAGCAAGGATTCACTTTACGCTTTTGCGACCGGAACTCTATGAATAGCTGCCTGGAAGCCATAAACAATCGTGAAACACATGAGAAAATGCGACGGCCACCTGCCTGGAGCTCCTCCTGGATGTCTTGGTCTTGGCCTTGGACTGCGCCTGCTGGCGTGTCTGCCTCCCGAGAGCGAAGGGATTCTGTGACGTTGTGCTCTCTGCAGGAGTCGGATCACCCAATAGCTGAACCTTAAACCCCCAAATCCTGGGATCCACACAACTAAGGGTTCTGACTACCGGGCCAAGTGCCGAAATATGTCGTCTCGGCATACACTTGCATTGCGAAAAGCCCTCAGTGCCGCGACTAGAAAGCACACATCATCCCGATGCCTGGGTCTCCTTCTTCACTTCTTGCTTCGCTTTCTGGGGTCTGGCTGGCTCCTTCGGTTCATATATTTGCGGGTCAAGGCAGAAACGATGCCCGCGAGAAGATCGGTGAACAGAAGCGACAGCGCATCTTGCTTGAAACATGAACTCACAAAAAAAACACGGACGTCCGGATGGTTCAGGATTTAGGGTTTAGGGTGTAGGGTTTTAGGAGCTACAGCCACGAGAAACAAATGTGTGTAGCAGCTTACCGTCTGGCCTCAGGGCTCTTGGGAACTCATACCCTCCTGTGCCAAAGAGCAATTGCACAGCTTGCACGGTTCTGTTCAGGACTTGATGCGTGAAGGGTTCAGGGTTGAAGGTCTAGTTTCGGGTTTAAGGTTCGTTTTAGGGTTGATGGTGTAGGGTTTGCATGCACTGACATCATTGGATGCCAAGCAATGCAAACCCGAAGGAGTCAGGCACCATGAAGCCCTGTAACGTCAATCGTCAGCCTACAACGAGTGCGCCTAACAGGGGCCCTGGAGGATTTTGGGGCGATTCTGCTACACCCGTAAGGGGAATCCGTGGGAGTTGTTCAGACTTCTATCTTGAAAGCTGGATCCAAAACCCGGGCTCCTGGCTGTCAGCATCATTGTCGATTCGGCCCTCCTGACAGGGAAACTTGATGTGTTCGGGGAAGGTGTTGGTAGCTTTCCCAGCTGAGGTATAGCCGGAGTCTGAAACCCCTATACACCTTAAGCCTCCAAAGCCGTAAGCTGTATAAGCCCTGAGCTCCAAACCATGAGCCCACAAACCTATCACTCCAGAACCCAACGACAACGAACCCCAAAGCGAAGCCCATACTCAGTCTACCTGAACCCCACGTGCAAAAGATTGCCGTTTCGTATCTGTTGGGCCACTATTTTACTTACTTGGTACTTGTGGTAAGCCTGGCCCTCTGCATGACTCGACCGCAGTGCATGCTACTACCGTTTCGGCGCATGGCTCCGACTTACGGACCTGTCTGGAACCGTGAAAAGTCGTGTAACTACACCGAAGCTTGGTTTCCCTGCAATTTTGGAAGTTAAAGAAACCTGTTGGATTCAGGGATTTGGGGCGTAGAGGTTTATTAGGATTTTGAAGGATTGAGGTTTAGCTTTCGCTTCGGACTTCCGATAAGATTGCTCGACCAACATCCTACATGAACACACGAATCCGGCATTTGCAAAATTATGATCCATAATAAATCAAAAACTGCAAGCAGCTCAAGCATTTAGCCGCTTAAACGAAACCCGCCCCCCAATATCTGATCGGGCAAACCTGCATCAAAAAGGCGTCTCAAAGATTCGCAGAACAACAAAACACAATTCCGAACTAGCCCGAAACCAAAATCCTACGACGCCCAACACGAGCATTCACCCAAAACCCTTCCCCATGGAAACCATTCACCAGCACCATCGAGGCCAAAGCTTTGCCTCAAAATCCAAGACTTTAAGCGGAGCATAGCAACCTGAAGATTTAGTGATACTTTTCCTCAAATCCTATTGCAGCGATTAAGGCCCCTGAAACATCAACCGTCGCAACCTGAAAGCACAACTCCGCAACACCTCGATCGCTATTCACTCCACTCCGAAACGGGTTTATGGTTGAGGGGTTTAGGGTTTGCTTTCGGGCTGAGGAGAGGATATACTAAATGCGCTTTGCGCCTGCCGCGGTGGACGAGGCTTGGGCTGTTTGGCAACCTTCACCGATAGGACGACCACCTTGGCGCCGAAATCTACGAGACTCTACTTTAGAGACTTGCAGGCATGCATTTACGGCTGCTTTTGAAGTTTCGATTGCTACTGCAGATCCAAGTTCCCCGTAACCGCCAAGAACAGTTTCAGAGGCTTTAGACCCATTAGTTGCGTGCCGGGACTCTTCAGTTTATGCTTTACACCGCGGATGAAGTGCGGTAAACAACAAGAGCCTTGGAAGCTGTAGTCGGAATACCCAACGACCTGAACAAGACCTGTTTCACGCAACCCCTGAAACTGTAAACCCCAGGACATTGGGTGGCCTGTTGAGATTGGAACAATTGCGGTTCTTATAAGGGATCCTGGAGTTTATGTTTATTTTTGGGATTCATTGGCGTGAATAATCAACATGGAGTTTTGAAATGTCGGGACATTTCGCGGGGAACGAGTATTACTAATGATTCCGGCCGTTATATCATCTACCAATATCTCCTATCACGCAAGCTCAGAAGCCTCAAACCGCCTGCCGCCCAAGAATCCTTAAGAATGCACGCCTTCAGCTTTTTGGAATTTCGGCGATTGGGTGCATATAAGGTTTGAAGTTGACTTTGTGAAGATGGGTGCGGTCAACGGCCAGGATGCAAGGGTAGCAGTCATCCTGTTGGTGTTTAAGGTTTAAGGGGGGTGTTGTTCTGAGGTGTGCCGCGCTTTGGGGTCCTTGGTCTAGTCAATGCTGAACTACTACCGTACTGCAGGGGCTGAGCCCAGAGGGTGGTACCTCACCCCTGCTTATGGAGTGTTTGACTTTCGTTCGAATTTATTTCGATTTTCAAAAACCAAGACAACACAACGCCCACTAAGCCATGAAAAGAGCGGAGCATCCTCAACAGGGAGCTTGGCCAAAACAATCAACATACCTCAAGAACGCATGGACGAGAGGTTTCACTGATGCTGTACTATACGGAAATGCATGCTACATCATCCTAGTGCTTGTTGATTGCGAAAAGACGCTCCCCGAAAGATGAATCAGGTGCTGGCTGGGTATGAAAATATCTAGCCCCCGTGATGGGCTCAACTGGCCCATGCAGCTGTGTAACATCTGGGAGCGCGATGACTGAATAATTCTTGATGCTTCGTGCAAGTTCGGGGCTCAGAGTTGCTCAGATCCCAGCTTGAAGCCCAGAGGCTTCATGTAGCCTTATAGTAGATACTTTAGCCTTAAAGGGGTCCCTATATAGGTACTTTAATTTAAGGCCTAAGTATAAACTATATTGGTACGTGGAGCCTTAGGGAAGGTCCTTGCAGGCGAGATGCATCCGAGGAACTCATGGCAACATGTCTTGCAACAGTGGGATCTTGAGCCGTGCTGCATAGCTGCAGAATGCGCGAGAATGTTTGGATTCTTGTTAGTCAGCTCCTGTATCCCGAGGAAACTCCTTTACCTTTTTTTGACTGCCTACCCCTAAATCCCAAACCTACAGCCCTAAATCCTAACCCTTACATCTAAGTTCTTCATAACGAGGCCCTCCGGAGATAATGACTGCAGCTGAACACCATACATAAAGCAAATCAAAAGACAACTTCCCACATGCTGCAAGACCCCATGCCCCAACTACAGTAGGAATCTCTGAAGCCTGAAACCCGCATCGAAACCAGAAGAATACGCCAAGCCTACACCCAGACATCAAAACCCTACACCCTAAACCCCAGACCCGAGTAACCACTCCCCTTAAGCTCTTGAGCCCAAAACCTGCAAACACTGCACAGCTTCACAGGATGCCAGGAAATTCCTTGAAAGATGGGTTTGTAAGAGGTCTCGCAGGGCTCTACAAGCGTAGCGTAGGGTCTGTAGACTTCATGCTTAAAGGGGATCCTGATGTGTTATACTACGAGCGGGCCATGGTGTGATTTCAAAATTCAAGCGGCTTTCCGCTGATATTGCTCTCGCTTCAGCAGACACAATGTTCCAATACAAAATTGTAATACGAAGGTCGGTTGGCTGTCCCGTCGCTGGATGTAAGATTCTAGCAAGTCGTTGAGATCCAAATGAGACGGCCGTGCCCTGCATGGTATCACTCGCACTTCGGAGTTTGGTCTACGCGCCGCACACGCCCGCTATTGAAACATGACGCGGGTCTCGCACTCTCACCCTGAGAAGGTAAAGCACAAAAAAAAATAGTAGTGATTGGGAAACCCTGCCACCAGTACAAAAAGGCACAGCACCGAAACGCCCTTCAAACCAAAACTCTACGGACTGCAGACTCAAGCGAACTTTGGATGGGGCAGGGCGGTCGTGGTAGGGTCATTCCAGAGGGATCTGCCTTTTCGAGGTGGCTGAGCACGAGATGATGAGCATGCGGATGCACACATGCGAAGTCGAAGTACAATCCTTCGAATGCGGCGCAGGACGTGGATGGGATCCATGCTTGCCTGATTCGTGCTCTTGTAGGTTTTTTGTGTGTGCAAGGAGCGAGAAGGAGACTTCTATACCGATCACAAGCTGTGCAAGAAAGAGGATCCCGGTCCACGGAAGGTGACAGTATTGGCATAGTTGACTCCTCTTTACACGTGCAGCTTGGCCTGAACATGCAGCTGCCACAAACAAATGCGACTACAAAGAACTTGTTCCTTCGCTCGCGTCCTCTTCACCGCTTGCAGGGCTGTTCAGCCCGATCCTTCTCCTGCTGCTTGCGCCAGGCCACCGCCTGCTTCCAGGCTTTCTCCACCTCCTTCGGCGAGAAATCCTTGGGGCGGAACCTCATGTGCTTGCCTTGGCATCTTGCATGCCAGGCCTGCTCACCGGGGACCCATCTGATGCCCTTCTGCGGCCCGAGCGGCTCGAAGTGCGGGAGCTCCGAGAGCGGCTTCACGGGCACCAGCTCCTCCTGCAACCCCAACTCCTTGGCCAGGTCCCGGGCCCTGGCCTCCGCCTCCTCCTTCACCTTGAAGTAGCCGCCGTGCAAGTTCTTCTTGGTGATGGGATGCATGAACTGCACCCGCCAGTTCTGTTTAGACTTCTGAAAATCGACGCCCCTCACCTTGGAGCCGGAGGCCTTCTCCGTGATGGGCTTCGGCGGCTTCAGCTTGCCGAGGCGCACGAGCTCCTCGCGGAAAGCCTTGGCCTCCTCGAGGGCCGCCTCCAAGGCTTCGCCTTCGCTGAGGCCGAGCTTCAGGTGCTTGGAGATGGGGAAATTGAGCTTCCTCCGCTTGCCAGCGTCCCGCCAATCGACTCTCCAGCTCGCCATCACTCTTTCCCAATAGATTCCCTGGATGCCGCTCTGGCGCTCCAGGCCTCGGAAGTTCTTGGTGACGACTTGTTCGCCCTCAGCTCTGGGCTCCACCTGGCTCGTCGACTCCAAGGGCTTCTGCTCGCCGGGCTCCGGGACGGAGCCCACGGACTCGAAGATCTCGAGGCCTTGCATGGCGGAGCCTCCCCCGGTCGGCGAGAGCTTCATCATGCCGTCCTCCACGAGCAGCCAGCCATTGCCGGCCCAAGCTCGAGTCGGAAGGTCCCGCATCCAGGGCCACATTTTCATGCACTCAGCTGCTCGGTGCTGATTGCCGGTTGAGCTCCTGTGGGGCTGCGGCCTGGATCCAGCAGTAGTGGTCACTGCCTGTCCCTCGCTGCTTGGGTCACTGTTGTCATGGAAGAGAGCATGGTGTGGATTCTCGCGGTAGAAGTCGCGCAACTCTCTGAACTGCTCATTGCCGAGGAGCTGCACGCATGCTGTTGTTGTGTCTCTTACACATCCTTGCCACGGAGCTGCGGCTAATCCGAGAAACGGGCTGGCCGGACAGCAGGGCTTCGTGGGGAGCCACGTCTTGCCAGAGGATTGAAATGCTAGGCATTTCTCGGCCCACTCTGTCAATCGCGATTCGAAGGATGGAACGGAGACATCAGGACTCTTCTGGCTCAGTCGACGCCTCTTCGGCCCAGGCTGCTCGAAGTTCTCTTGCTTAACTTGCACAGGCAGGGAATCCACTGGCTCCCGCTTGGTGCAAATCCTTGGTTGCAAGGTAACATCCACAAGTCCGCAAGCAAATGACAGCAGAAGAAACTGCACCCCATTCCCGAGTTCTATATGTTTCTGCAGTACAGAAACTAGACGAAAGCTCGAAACTCGCACCAACAAGCTATGTAGAAACGGCTATGCGGACTATACGGAAAAACTCGAGCGACACGATAGTAAGCCTAATCTATGCCATCAACATGCGAAAGAACAAGCTCAACTGTGCCTTTCTAGTAGCTCGCGCAAGGGAGTGAATGAGCTAGGGAGGGAATGTATAGAGCTGAACATCGGGCAGGAGAGACTGCTGTCGCTGCACGTCTTTGCTAGCCGAAATGCAGCATACTGGAATCCAGAAAGCTACAGTTACGGGATAGTAGCTCCTGGCTCGCAGATAAAGTTACAAGACCGACAACTGAAGATACAAACCCCAGCCACCTACTGCGCAGTTGAGCAGTTGTGTGTCGACGGTCAAGATCCAAGGTTATGAAAGCCGCCAAGCCACAACTGGCATGGCCACTTCTGGTCCTCCGTGACAGGGGTGAAAGGACAATGACGGGTAAGTGTTGCATGAGTTCGTCTAGGGCTTAGATCAGTTGCAGGACTTACTGTAGGAGTTGCGGTTCATGTTCAGAGCTTTTATGGATGACGGTTTGCTGCGTTGCATCATGGTGTTGGGATGGCTTCGATCTGGGTCTAGCCTGCAGGAGTCTGCCACGAGTATATACAAGGCAGTAAAAATACACCGCCCAAAAACGGCCATTCTATGGTACTGAGGGTGAGTGCCGCGGAAGTAAAGTAGTATCACCATAAGAGTCTCATCGTTTCGGTAGAGCTTGAGATCAACAGCTAGAACCGCACCGCAGAGTGGTCGGACAACGCTGCTACTACTGCTGCTGATTATAGTGGGAGTCGTGGTCCTTCACGCGTGGCAGGTATAAAACGAAACAAGCAAACGGAAATGGTTGCTATAGTACGGATCGAGACAGCAAACTACATCTGAAGACCTGGCCTAACGCAAGCAAAACTCGAAATACTGAGCCGACTGAAGCCCTACGAATGAGTCAGACAAGGCGGGACCCTTAAAGGATCCCTGAAAGGATCCCTCAAAGGAGCCCTTAAAGGAACCCTTGAAGCGTCCTCCTGCTTCATTTCATGCTTGATCTCAGCCTTTGCCTTCACAGAGAGACAAACGGCGCTTGGAGCTCGGGACTTCTGGATCTGCTTGTAAGACTTAGGGCTTCAGGGGTTTAGGTGCAGGGTTTAGGAGTCTAGGGTTTAGGGTTTCAGGGTTAAGGCTTCGGGCTTTAGGTTTACGTTTAGGGTTTTCGGGGTTCAGGGTTTTCGGGGTTTTAGGGATTTGGGGTTAGGGCATAGCGTTTCTTAAACTCCGACGCTGGATACAGGTGTCGTATATACATGCACCAAGCATATACAGATAAAAGAACGGGGTTTAGAATGTGCGGATGAGAGCAATTCATTTGGGGTTTGGGATCCAGGATCGCCATGTTGCTCCGAGTATGCCTCTTTATTATACGGATCTGAGCATCTCCCCCATTGCAGCCTTTGTGCGCATTCTTCGGCGAGAGCTGACGACCTCCATGACAGGATGAGGTAAAGAAAATGAGAGCAGGGCTGGCGCTGAGAACTGAACAAGCCAAGTCGAAACCCCACACGGAAGCGGCTGTATGCTAAAATTAACGATCCCGACAATACCTCTTATGATCATGATGAAACGTGTTAGGGATACTTCATTGCCGCCAGCTCGTTCCGGGTCTACCAAGGCCTCGTTGCTCTCTTTCTTCACTTCCATGTGGGCGTCTTTCGAAACCTCCTCCTTCACCTCTTGCTTGATGTCCTTCCAGGGCGTTGCTGGCAAATGCAAGTATAAGCTAAGCTGGCTTAGGATGTCCACTGGTGGGGCAAGCAGGAGACTCGCCGTGATAAGGATTCGCAAGCGTCCGTGCGCAGTAGAGCTAAGCTCCTAGTAGCCCCCGTCTAGGCTGTCAGGTGTGAGGCTGAGGAAATCCGCATCTCCAATTCAGCCAGCATACAGGGCTAGGACGGCATTTTTCAAGCACTGCAGACCAACTACTGAAGAACTCGGATGCACACTGCACAACCACCCTGAAACCACATTGCACCTACAGTGGCCCCCACTGTCCACCCCGGTACGCGAACCTTTTAAGGCTCCGAGGTTCTAGAATTACAGAACCTGGTGCGCTACTGCTTCAGTCACGTACCAGTGGTGGAGAAACAATGAAAGGTAGTAAACTCCGGAGGCTCCAGGATTACAGAACCTGATGCGGTACTGCTTGAGTCAAGTACCAGTGGTGGAGAAACAATGAAAGGTAGTAATGAAGCAAACTCCGGTTTTGGTGGATTGTTCGGTATTCCCCTAAACCCTAAACCTCAAAAGACTCAAAAGACTCAAAAGCCCATCAGCCTTCGGCGTGATCTCCTTTTTGACCCGCTCGTCATTGCAATTCAATTGCTCTTCCTTGATCTCAGTCTTCACGTGTTGCTCTCTGTTCTTCGGAACCTCCTCTTTCACCTCTGTCTTCAGGTCCTTCAGGCATTTTTGCTGATCGAAGCTTTCCGAACGTGCAGATGTCGAACCTCGCCGGTGCTGGTGCCGGGGTTGCCAAAGTAATTGAAACCTAAATCCCAAAGTTAAGATTCGCCGAGCTCGCACCGCGATTCCCAACATGCATGTCTTCGCGATGTTAACCCAAAGCCCATGTGTCCGCTTGGGCTTCTTTGGATTCTGAGACCGCTGAAATTGGCAACAGCTCTAGAGGTCGACGAAAACTGAATCAACAGAAACTCGGCGCAACACCTTCGCTGTGCACAGCGAGTCCACTATATAGCACACAGACGGCCCACTGAGTTTGAGCGCCACATGAGCTTCATAAATGCAGCGTTCTTTTGTTGCCATCAACAGACGTGCGTCTTTTTGACTTCGATCTGAGGATGATGTCGACAGGAATGCTACACAACGCGTTTGAGTCGGGCATGAGTGTGGGATCGAACTTTGGTTTCAATACCACCGCGTAGCGCTAGGTACCACCATAATGGTTGATCAACCGTGCCGGGTGCTGTGCACGGACAGGGAGTTTCTGACTAGTCGGCGGCGGCTTCGCAGAGCAAAAACAAGCCGATGAACCCGACATCCGAGAATCCGAGAGCTACACTATACCAGGTCTGACGGTCCTTTCGAAGACGTTTTTTTGAAGCCAGCATTCAAGGACAAAGCAACAAATGTATCTGGCAGAGGCTTGGTCCCACTCGCCTCCTTCACTGCCAGCTTGGTCTGGGCTACCATGTGGGTATTGCTTTCTCGCTCCTGCCACGACCACAACCTTCTCAACCCGTAAAACTTGCGCACAGCACTTTCTGAACCAACTGTGGACTGTAGTGATCGGCTTCTCCGATTCGTAAAAAAGGCATACATAAAACGACACATGGGATTCAGAACAAGTGCACTGGGATCGGTTGTTGAGGTGCCCGACATATCCTATAGGCATCAAATGCCACTTGCTAGCTGCAAGCGACTGCACGTACTCTAAACAAACCTCATAGAATGCAGTGGTGTGCAAACCCACACCATCTCCCAGCATAGTGATCCTCTCAACTGGGTGCTCGTGCGAGATGTGTTAGCATCGATCTTCCCAGCATTTCCTTCCTTTCACTTAGTGTCGACAGGGTCTGCTGTAAGTTCGGGCTTTGGACAAAGTATTCTATTTACCTTAGATCAGCACCCTGGCCATACGGAGCATTCAAAATTGAAATGGGGATTTGATTGAGGCAAGGTGTACTATATATGACTGTAGAGAGGAACCTAAGGACTAGTGTTACTCAGTAGTCATGACTAGACAAAGCTTCAACAAGCTCGTAGTGACACAACTGCCTGAATGGTCTCAATGCCACTCAAGACCTTCACCGAACACGCATCTGCCTCAACTTCTTCCTTCACTTCATCCTTCACCTCCAGGCTTAGGACTTGGGACACTGTAACTGTAGGCTTGAGGGTTAAATGTTTAAGGGTTTAGGGTTTAGGGTTCAGGGCGCAGGGTTGAGGATTTGGCGGCGTAGAGTCGAGGAGGCTTGTGCCTTTCACCTCGGGGTTGTTCATCGCAGGATTGCTCACCATTCCAGCCTTTGTGTGAAAACAAGGACCAACTTGGGAGTTTCCAATAAGAGGGGTACCTTATTTAGGGGTCCTTATGATAAGGATCCTACTATTTAGGGTACTAAATTCGGGTCTCCTATTTTCGGAATCCCCCACTTTGCGCTTCTGCGACGATGATGAACAGCAGGGGATCGCAGCTTCAAGGCCCAAAGTAACGAACGACACTGCAGGGGTGCAAACACTTATCGATAATGCCCAGGATAGCACTCTATGAACAGCTGCTAAAGGCCAAAGACATAAGACAAAACACAACATGATAAACTACAACAGAAGCCAGAAAGTTGGAACATCATTATCCTCATGCCCTTAAGGTAAAGTATAAAGGATCCTACCACCAATCCTCCTAAAGACATATCCAACTTTCTGGCTTCTATATTATACGACGACCACCTGCCTGGAGCACCTGGTGGATGTCTGGGGCTTGGCCTTGAGATGCGCCTGCTGGCGTGTCTGCCTCACGAGAGCGCCGGGATTCTGCGACGCTGGGCTCTCTGCAGGGAGTCGAGTTACCCAATAGCTTCAATAGCTCAACCCCTACACCCCAAACCCTAATCCCAAAACCGCCCAAACTTGGCCCAAACCCTGAGATCCACACGTCTAAGGGTTCCGACTGTCGGGCCAAGTGCTGAAATATGTCCTCTTGGCATACGCTTGTAATACGAAGAGCCTTCGAGGCTCCGACTCGAAAGCACACACCATCCCGATGCCTGGATCTCCTTCTTCACTTCTTGCTTTACTTTCTGAGGTCCGGCTGGCTCCTTCGGGTCATGTGTTTGTCAAGGCGGCAGCGAGACCCACGAGAAGATCTACAGTGTTACAGCCCCTATTTGAAGGAATTTTATGCTAGCCAGGTTTCTGAGAAAAGATGCTTGACAAATCTCGAACTCGCAAAAAACAGTAACATCGTGATGGTTCAGGATATAGGGCTTAGAGCTTAGGGTTTTGGGAGCTACAGGCGCAAGAAGAAACGAAACTGGATAGCAGCTTTGCGTCCAGCCTCGGGGTTCTTGGGGACTGTTACTGTTACCCTTGTGTTTGGACTGAAGGCCTTGCCCAGCTTGGACGGTTCTGCTCAGGACTTGAAGCGTTGAGGGTTGAGGGTCAGCTCGGGTTTGGGGTGTAGGTAGGGTACTGCCCCTATACAGTAACAGTGTATAATAGGGCTACGACTAAGGTCCGAATATAGCTATATTGTGAATATTATCCAACTGTTACTGAGGGGGGGCAGTACCCAAGGTGTAGGGTTGATTAAGGGTTTACTTTGAGGTTGAGGGTTCGACTTTGCATGCACTGATATCATTCGATGCCGAGCAGTACAAACCCGAAGGATTTACGGCAACATCAAGGCCTGTTCCCCACAATCGTCAGCCCACCACCAGCGCGCCTAACACAGGGGTGCAGAAGGTCCTTGCGTATGGTTCTATGCTTATGGAAGTCTATTGGGAGCATAAGGGAATAATAGTGTTGGGAAGTATTCAGGCGTCTACGTTGTCTTAATCCTGGATCCGCAACCCGCGCTCCTGGCTGTCAGCACCATTGTCGAATATGCCCTCCTGTCAAGGAAGCTTCATGCGTTTGGCGAAAGTGTTCGCAGCTTTGCTTGCTGAGGTATAACAGGCCCTAAACCCGATAGACCCTAAAATCCAAAAACTTAAGCCGTAAAACGTAAACCCTGAGTCCAAACCATGAGCGCGAAACCCTATCCAAATCCAAAGCCCCGAAGTCCACAACCCAACGAACCCCAAAGTAAAGCCCACAGCCCGTACCTGAACCCCATAAATGTTTAGAAAAATGGCATGTGTATGCCGTGTATGCATTGGGCAATTGCTTTACTGCTCCGGCTGGCATAGGTACTGTAGCCCTGACCCCTCTGCCAGACCCGACCCCAATGTACCCTCCTACCATTCCGGCGCATGGCTCAGACCTACTTAGAGGATCATGGGACTTAGTAACTAGGGTTATACATAAGGTAACTATACTTATAATTACTTATACCCCCACTGGGGGTACTTATACTCTGACTTACTAAGTCCCGTGATCCTCCAAGTACGGACCTGTCTTGAATCGCAAAGAGTTGTTTGACTACACCGAAGCCTGGACTCTGAGTGCTTTGCGATTGCCAAAGCGGAGCCCTTCAAGTATGGAAATTAAAGAAACCTTATTGTGATTGAGGGTTTGGGGGTGTAGAGGTCGTATTTCCCTGAAACCCGTAGGATTGAAACCCTAAACCCTAAATCCTAAATGGGTTTAGGTCTAAGCTTTGCTTCGGATTGCACTGCCGATCGGTTTGCTCGCCGGCCTAGCACTCTACATCAAAAAGCGGTTTAGAGTTTAGGGTTTAGGGTGAAAATCGACACTTGCAAAATGATGATCCTTAAATAATGTCAGCACATAGAAATCTGTTTGCAGCTCAAGCATTTAGCCGCCTAGACGGAACCCCGAATATCTGAACGAGCAAGCCTGCATCAACAAGGTGTCTTCAACATTCTCTGAACAGTACAGCAATCCCGAAACCCTGGCCCCAAACCCAAATTAAACCCTACGACCTCAACCTTAGCACTCACCTTCAAACTCTTCCTGCTGCTGTAAAACTATACCTCAAAATCCCTGACTGTAAAGGGGAGAGTAAACAAGCCTGAAGAACTAGTCATGGTCCTTGAACCCTATAACTTGAAAGCGCAACACCGCAACACCTCGAGCGCTACTGGAGCCACAGACTCTAATACAGGGGCCTCAGTACTTAGAAAAGGGTTGAATAGGACTTTGGGGCCCATTATACTACAAACATCTATAAATATAATATAGAACCTCCAAAAAGGTATAGGCAATTATTTAGGCCCCTATATTACTCTGAGAAGGACTTAGGTTTTGCTTCACGGCTGAGGAGAGGGTTATACTGGGTGCGCTTGAAGCCTTCCGCGGTGGACGAGGCTTGCGCTGCTTGGCGACCTTCACCGATAGCACGACCACCTTGGCTCCGAAACCCTAAACCCTGCACCTTAAAACCTAAACCCTAAACCTTAAACCCTAAACCCGAAGCCGTTACAAGACTCTACTTTGGCCCTTTGGCGGCTTAGAATTTTAAGGTTTCCGGACTGCTGCATGCTGCGACCGGAACACCACCAAGAATGCCTTCAGAGGCTACGGATCCATTAGTCGCGTGCCAGGACCCTGCAGTTCAGATTCTACACTGCCCGAGGTGCAGTCAACTACCTCAACGGAAGCCTTGGAAGCCGTAGTCGGAATAGCGAAAGCCCTAAACCCAATCCGCTCAACGCAACCCCTAAAACTGCAAACTGTGGGGTCATTGGTCTACTGAATTCTGAACTACTACTGTACTGCATGCGCTGAGCACAGAGAGTAGTACCTTACCCCTCTTTGGAGTACTTGACTTTCGTGCTATTGTAATTTAGACAAGACAAAGCCCATTGAGCGATGAAAAGAGCGAAGCATCCTAAACAGGGAGTGTTGCTTAAACAATCAAAGTCCTTGAAGGCCGCAAAGACGAGAGGCCCCGCAAGCTGATTAACATCTGCGAGCGAGAAGATTTCAATACTTCGTGATACTTCGGTGCAAATGCAGAGTTCGGAGTTGCTCGGCCCCCTTAACTTCAGTAGCTATGCAAACGAGATGCATCCGGGGAAGCCATGGCAACGTCACTTGCAATGCAACAAAGGAATCTTGAGCCGCACTGTAAAGCGGAATGTTTGCTTTAATCTTCCTAGGCAGTTTCCCCATCCCGACGAAACTGCTTAACTTTTGGACTGTGCCTGCTGCCATAAGAGTCCCTCACCCGTCAACCCGAAGCATGAATCCCAAGCAACAAGCTGCTAAATCCAAACGCCTACTTCATGATTCGGCCCGCCGAAGATGATGACTGCCGCTAAGCATCATTTAAAAAACCTACAGTAAATGCTGCAATCCCTGATGACCAAACGAGAAACCCCTAAAACCTCAATCGAAAACAGAAGCTAAGCACAGCCCCAAAAAACCTACACCCCAAACCCCAGTAGAAACTGCCCTGAATTCTCGAACCCAAACCCGAAATTTGCACCAGGATGTGTTTCTCCAGTGGCTAGTGCAATAGCTGAGAGATAGGCTCTATGAGGATTGTGGGGCTTTACAAGGCCTTATCAGGTTTTGTAGGGCTGTACTGGCGACATGCATCGCGCAGGGCCCGTAAAGAGGGGCTTTGCGTTCATGCGGGCATTCTAAGCTAAATGGGGTTAAGGGTTTGGGATTCAGGGCAGCGGGTGATTGAACCAATAGCTGAACAACCTGGGCCCAGACAAACAGCTCAGATTGAAGATTATTTTAGGGTTTTGGGGTTAGTTGATTGAATTCACATTCCCACGGCCCACCTATGTCAAATACTTACCCGAAGCCGTATAGGAAAAGACTTATATAAACCCCCCAAACCATGCACCTCAAACATGAAACCGTGCGCTTTATAGAACTCGTAAAGGGAACTCCTACAAAACTCTGCCCCTGTGTTAAAGCCTAAAGCCCTAATTACACCCTATAAAGCTGGAAATCCTGAACATTTATAGAATCGTCCGGAGGAACTACGAAAGGAAACCTTAAAAGCGATTGTAGAGGCCGGCATACATGCCAGCAATTTTCTCAGGGTTCCGTATGGCAGACATAATAGGACCTACGCCGGAACCTTATTCTGGAATCATTCTAGACCCCTTTAGCCCTAAAAGGGAGTCCTTTTCCCACTGCACAGGCCCTTGCCCTAATCCCCAAACCCGAAACCCTAAGACCTAAACCCTAAAGCATCTAAGACCCAAAACCCCTAAACCCGAACCCAAGACCCCTAAACCCCCACACCCTATAGATCCCTTAACGGAACCCCATAGATCCCTTAAAGGGACCCTTAAAGGAACCCTAAAGAACCCCTAAATCCTCAGGGCCAACCCCATTGCACCCTAAACCCTAACCCCTAAACCCCAAGCCCTAGGCATAATACCCCTTATAGTAATCCTTCTAGATCCCTTAAAGGATCCCTCTAAAGGACCTTTTAAAACTATGCTGAACTTAGAACTTTAGCAAAACTGACTGTTTCTTAGGGATTATAATAACCCAAAATCACAAATTATTTCTAAGAACCCCTAAGTAATGGATCCCTCCAAAAAGCCCTTTTTAAATCCCATTGCACCCATTTTGCCTCGACCTCGGGACCCAGCCAGGCGTTTGGCGAAATCTGCAGGCGCTGTGCATCCGGGATTCCAGCTGCTTGGGTTAACAGTAAACCCCAAAAGTTGGAAACCGGATTAAGGCCAAATAGTGCTGGGATTCCCTATACATTACTCTTAAGGATTGAGGCTATTGGGTGTCCAACTTTTGGGCCTCTACCATAGGGGTGTATAGGTTTCGTTTAAAGCGATCTATGAGTTTTTAATAATCGGGTTTCTACAACGGATCTACATGGTTTCGGGGTTTAGGGGTGCACTAGAGGATCATGGAACTTAGTAAATCGGGTTATATCTAAGGTAACTATACCTATAGGTACTTATATTAAAAACGCCACTTAATGTACTTATAACCATACTTATTGCAAAGTCCCATAGGGCTCAGCGTCTCAGCTTTGGGATTCGGTGCTAGGATGTTTTAGGCTAAATAGGGTTCGGGTCTAGTGGTGCAGTGCTTCCCGGTCATTGCTTTAGGGTTCCAAGGGCAGTCCTTGGCAGTTGCTAGGAGTTTTGCTCCAGCACTCGAGGGGTATCTCCAGATTTCTACGGTTACTTCTGGATTGTGATCTGGAGCTGCAAAAAGGTCGAGGTTTGAGTCATACAATCCCATGACCAGACAATGCATGAACTGAAATGGTATTCGGCATCATGCAGCCCCGACTGGAGTCAATCTCAAATTGCAATGTTGAACAAGGGAGTCGACGGCGCACAGACCTAAAAGACCAAGTAGTTGAAACCCATCCAGAACTCTAAACCCAAACCTTAAGGCTTTGGGGTTTAGGGCTGCATAGAAGCCCCTTACAGGTAGGTAGTTCCTCTTCCATAGTACTCCCATAAGACCCCTTTACCTTATAGGAGTGGTATGGGAGGCTTATGGGAAACTACCCACCTTGTAACTACCCTAAACCCTAAACCCTAAACCCTTAACCCTAAACCCTAAACCCTTGTAACTACCCACCTGAAAATGTCTTAGACTGCAAGACCACCCCGACTGGAACCTCTGCCGCTTCGAAAGTCCGCAGCGGAGAAGCCGGCACCTGTCCAGAAACATATACTCAAGCCGTAAAGTACCTATATAGGGACCCCTTTTAAGGCTTAAGTATCCCGTAAACCCTAAACGGCCATAAAGCTCCATATACCCATATATTAGTTTTTATAGTCTAGTATATACGCAGGCCGTAAATTACCTATATAGGGATTCCTTTAAGGCTTAAGTATCTACTATATGGGTACATGGAGCCTTTGGGAATGTTTAAGCCCTTCAGGGGGCTTACGTGGATCCTGAGGAACCTACCTCGGGCTCCTAAGCATGATGTCCTTATGTCACTCCTTAAACAGGTAGGTTGCTTAGGGTCCAGGTAGGATATTTCTAAAACGACCTAAACCCACAAGCCCGTTATGACCACTACGAAGCAAAACAAACTAAACCCTTCACCCTTGATCCTGAATGCGGAGAGCCCGAAACTATGGGAGTGTCTCAAGTCAACTTAAAGGATCATGGGACTTAGTAACTGGGGTTAACACTAAGGTAACTGTACTTACAACTACTCCTGACCCCACTTAGAGTACTTATAACCTTACTTACTAAGTCCCATGATCCTCCAAGAAGCAGCCTCTGCAGCTTCGACGTCCTGCGGCGGAGAAGCCTGTCCATGTCCAGGGCGGTGTCTGAGGATTTCAGGATTTAGTTAGGGTTCAGGGTTTAGGATTTCAGGATTTCGGTTGGGGTTTACAGGTGGGGAGGTCTTGGGCGGTCGGGACCCTAAACCCTAAACCCCCTGACAGTTTGGGGTTTCATTAGGAACCTGATTTGCGAACCTTGGGCCTTTATTAAGGTTCCTTATATGAATCCTACTATTTTGGGATTATAGGCCCGGGATTTGTTTTATCAAGCTCCTAGATTAGGGAGGCAAGCCGTCATCCTATCTTGGTGCCCTCGGACCTCCTCGCTGGGCTGCGCCCGCAGCTCCTCCACCTCTTCGGCATCGGGCAATGACGGCCTTGGAGGGCAAAAGCGCCGGAGACCAGAAGACTACCCAGACCTTCCAAGATCCCTTAATTAAGGAATATACCTTGAATCATATTAAGGATCCTACGATAATTTAAGGGATATTCCTTTTTTTTCGGGATTTTGGAAGGTCTGGGTATAAATTATGTGATGTATACAATTCTTATAGGCTTTGGGTCTCGGGCTTTTGGTTCAAGGTGCACGGCCTGGGGGTTCGATTCCTTTGCATTTGTGCTTCATCTAACAGCCATTTTTGATGTTTTCTTGGTTTGTCCTTGCAGTTGTCCTTCATTTGGTATCCATAGGAGATCTTCAAGCAACCTTACCATGACTTGTTGCTTGAGATGAGGTGTCTCCCACTGACGTTTGAACCCGCAGTGGGCCATGCACTCACCTGCACTACAGCCCCAAACCCTACACCCCTAAACCTTAAACCCTTAACGCTAAACCGTTCACCCAGGAAACTGCAGCTTGCCCCGAATTCTAGGTCTGCACCTCGGCTCTACATCCAATATAAGCACTATATACCCTACATGAGCTGGCTGTAAACGCATGAACCCGCGACCCACTACTTCCCAAGTCCCTCGAAGCCACATGTTTTCCTGAAGCTCGAAATCCTACACCATCCTAGTAACGAAACATTTCTACCCGGCACCGAGAAGAATCGAAAACAACACCGAGAAGAATCTAAGCAACTATGCAGATTTGCAGGTTGAAGCGCAAGATGAAGCATGATCATACAGGCTCCTAGTTGTGCCTATACAGCCCTGAAAATGCCAGAAAGCCCCCTCAAAAGCCGCAAGACTCCTCAATCTACGGCCCCATAATCCCCCGAAGCCCCAAATGCGCGAATCAGAAACCGGAAAAAGGAAACCCGAAAGCCCATGATCTCTAAAGCCCTGCGTCTGCTTCCATGGGGCCATTCTGGCTGCTCCTCTTCCAGCATCAGGCTCACACCTCGGCTTAGGGATCGGACTTCTCTTGGGGTCCTGGTCAGGGATCTTTGTGTATGAAAGTTTTGGAGGAACCTTGTACTCACTAGATTACAGCCAGCAAAAGCCTCAAGGTTCCTTTTATCAAGCGTGAACCTCAACTCATCTGGGTCCATGTACCCCAAAATAGGGTTCCTTTAAGGGTTCTATATTACTTGGAAGTTACTAAATCCTCTAAGTAAGGGTTCTATTAAGGGTACGAAGCTCCACATAGATTCTTGACGCTCCCAGCAGAAGCAACAAACGACATCAAAGGTCCCCGAACGTGTTTCGTACGGTTGAGTCGGCTTCGGCCGCCTGAAGCAGTGATTCAGGCGTTCCATTTGTATTGCTACTAGTATCGTGATTTCTACATGGTTTTATCGCACGCTTACTCTGTTAATATCTCACTTAACTCCCAAAGCTTCTTTGTGAATCACGAACACTCAAACTCTACACTCTCTCCCCCGGGTCT